CAAACTTTTTGACTCGAGGGCCACAATGGGTTCTTAAATTGTACCAGAGGGCCGAAACAAAAGCATGGATGGAGTGTTTGTGTGAACTAATATAAATTCAAAGTAAACATCATTACATAAAAGGGTATAGTCTTTTTTTTCAATAGTTTTATTCATTTCAAACAGGCTGGATCCGGCCTGCAGGCCATAGTTTGCCCATGGCTGTTCTAGGGCCTCTCCACTTAACCAAGAGGTGCTGCCTATTCTATTAAAAAAAAATTATAGCTTCACAAGTTTAAGTGCATACCAGTGTATGAATGAACAGACATCAAAGGAAAATAAAGTTCAGAAATAGACCCCAAATATATATGGGAATTCAATATTGGAAACGGTATATCAAATTAGGAAAAAAATCCTATCTAATAAACAGGGATATGCTAATTGACTGCCATGCCTCACAAAATGGCAAAGAGGGGATATGCTAATTGACTGTCACATCTTCACAAAGATGGCGGTGCCCACAGCCACAAGATGGTGGTGCCCAGTCCCCTCAGCCCCGCCTCATCCAGCCTTAGTCCCCCAGTCCTCTCAGCCCTGCAGGGTAAGACAGTTGGGGGCGATTGGGCTGGCAGGGGAGTGCAGTTGGGGATGATCATGCCAGCAGGGTAGCAGTTAGGCGTCAATCAGGCCAGCAGGGGAGCGGTTAGGGGGCTATCAGGCTGGCAGGCAGAGTGACTAGGGGCAATCAGGCAGGCAGGCAGGCAAGTGGTTAGGAGCCAGCAGTCCCAGATTGTGAGAGGGATGTCTGACTGCCCCCAAGGGGTCCCAGATTGGAGAGGGTGCAAGCTGGGCTGATGGACACTCCATGCCCCCTGCATGAATTTTGTGCACCAGGCCTCTAGTATTCAATAAATGGTAATGATAGCTGAGTATCCACCTAGAAAAGCAGTTCTCAACCTGTGGGTCGTGACCCCTTTGTGGGTCGCACGACCCTTTCACAGGGGTCGCCTAAGACCATTGGAAAACACATATATAATTACATATTGTTTTTGTGATTAATCACTATGCTTTAATTATGTTCAATTTGTAACAATGAAATTGGGGGTCACCACAACATGAGGAACTGTATTAAAGGGTTGCGGCATTAGGAAGGTTGAGAACCACTGATCTAGAAAATATAGGATGTCAAAAATGTATATACACGCTTAGAATAATTATAAAGGCAGTGTTCATTAAAATACATTTCATTTAAAAAAACTGAGCTATTAGCTGTTAAAATGTATACATTTGGGGGGATACCCTATATAAAGTTAGAGTCATTTCTTACCTAATACATTTTAAGATAAGCCTTTGAATGTTATGCAGAGTATTACAAGTTACTTAATACATAAGATACAAGTAAATATGTAGAGTATTACGAAGAGTTTCTGAGAAATATGAGAGGTCTCTTGGGAAGTGGGCTCAGGCTTTGATTGGTTCTTTTCATGGGACAGAGCTGGGCTCTTACCCAAGAGGGCATGCATTACTTTTGCTTTAAAAAGTAAGGTTCTGCCTAGCTGGTGTGGGTCCGTGGTTGAGTGTTGACCCATGCACCAAGAGATCACTGGTTTGATTCCCAGTCAGGGCATATGCCTGAGTGGCAGGCTCCATCCCCAGTAGGGGGCAGCCAATCAATGATTCTCATTAATGTTTTAATCCTCTCCCTTCCTCTCTGAAATCAGTAAAAATATATTTTTTAAAAAACACTAAACATACAACTGCTATATGACTCAGCAGTTGCACTCTGGGCATTTATTCCAATGCAATGAAGGTTTATGGTCACAGAAAAACCTGCATACAAATTTTATAGCAGCTTTATTCATGATAGCCTAAAAGTGGAAATATCCAACAAGTGAATGATTAAACCAATGTGGTTTAACTTTACCCCATCTCTTTTTGCACACTTTTATTGCAATAAAAGGGAACGCTATTAATACAACAACCTGGATGAATCTCCAAAGGATTAGACTGAGTGGAAACAGGGAGTCCCAAAGGTTATGTTCTATATGATTGCATTTATATAATATTCTTGAAAGGACAGAAGTTATAGAAATGGAGACTGGGTTAGCAGTTGCGGTTAAAGGGAAGTGGGTGTGACTATAAAAGGGCAAATGAAGGATCCTGGAAATGATGGAAATAAATGTTCTGTATCTTGACTATCAATGCCAACATCCTGGGTGTGATATTGTACTACAGCTTTGCAAGATATTACTATGTGGAGAAACTGAGTTAAGAGTACACAGGATCTCCCTGTATTTTTCTCACAACTGCATATTTCTTACAATGATCTCAAAATAGAGTTTAATTTAAAAAACAAAAACAATCATGTAGCTTAAAATCCCCCAGTAGTTTCCCATTGTTCTTAAAATATGAGATCCTGGACGCTACATTTCTGTCCACGCCAGGATCACCAGGCTCCCTTCAGGCTTTCTGTGCTCCATCCTCTCTGACATTCTTTCAGTTCCCCCGCTAAGCCTACTGCTACCAACTAGGGGTATTTTGCAAATGCTGTCCTTATCTGAACCGTGTTTCCCTCTCTTCTATTCAACGCCTACTTATCCTTCAGACCTTAAACGAAGCCTAAAGTCCTTGGGACAACCTTTCCCCAACCTTTCTAAGTCAAATTGTCCTATAAGCTCTTCTTGCTCTGCGCTCTCCTCTTCGGTAGTACGCACATTCACCGCGGCACTTCCACAATTGCTTGCGTCATTACTTGATTAATGTGTTTTCTTTACTCGACAGGTAGTTCCACAGGAGAGGATCTGTGTCCGTTAGTCTCGCTGTCTGCAAAGCAGCTGGCTTCACACTAAAATGATCATTAAGAACATGCCCGACAGGAGGGGAGGTAAGAGATCGACCGAAGGACTTGTATGCATGCATATAAGCATAAGCAATGAACATAAGACACGGGGGTATGGGAGGCCAGGCGATTGTCAAGGGCGGGGGAAAAAGGAAACATGTAATACTCTTTGTAATACTTTAAGCAATAAAACAATTTTAAAAAAATACTACAAGTTAAAAAAAAATGCCCGAGCCGGTTTGCCCCCGGCGGGGCTTGTGCAGGAGGCAACCGATGGATGTGTTTCTCCCACATCGATGCTTCTCTTTTTCCCTCTCCTTAAAAATCAAAGGAAAAACGGGTGAGGATTAAAAAAAGAAAAACGAATAACAACAACAAAAGAACAGTATTTTTTTTTTTAAAGGAACAGTATTAATTGAAGGATTGGATGAACGCCCACCCACGCGCCGGGCGGTTCACACCGGCGTCGCGCGTAGCATACGTCACTTCCTCCCGGAAGACACTTTCTCGGGAGACCATCAGATTCCTGTCACTTCTCAGAAGTCTCCGGTGGTGGCCATGGCTCTGCCGCCCTTCTTC